TTTAGCCTTAATGATTTACCTTCAGAAAACATATTTCTATTAAGGGCGGTAATAGATGAATTCATAGAAAGGTTGAGAAATTTTCTTTTTTGAATAGATTTATTATAATAATTAAAGATAAACACTAAGAATCTATGACCAGGAATTGACAGAAGACTGTTAGAATAATTTAAAATTTCAGGAACTAATGTATACACTAGAAGAAGCTTGACTCTTAGCGTTATACATCAGTCTATAAGAGTAACCACAATATAAAGTTAGTTATGATGTAATTGTAACACCGTTAGTTAATTAATTTACTAAATTAACAAAATTGGTTTTTATTGGCACCGTGATTCATTTTAGACTAAGTATATGAAATTAATAAATCTTATTTATTACAGTAAAATATAGAAAACGCATCTAACATAAGGTTTTTATGCCATTCGCCAACACCTAAAGCCCCCCAGTAGCACAGCGATATGTCTGTGGACTTGTAACGCTAGAATCCGGGTTTCGATACCCGTGGTGGGCAGAGCACAGATAGCCCATTGTATAGCTTTGTGCTTAATTACAAAAACAAAACAAAAACAAACCAACACCTATTTTTAATGTAAATCTGTAGTGTTAAAAATATATTACAAATAAACCAAACCAAAAACATGAGTACTCTAGAAGGAGCCACTGTATATACTTTAATGTTTAGTTACAAACAAGTAAAATGTTTGTTTTCTTGGAATTTAAACACGGTTCACACATAATTCGTTAAAAGAAAATATTTTTAAATAAGTTAAAGAAACTCGACAAAATCATACAACCCCATCGTTTTCGAAAGGTGGACCTTTCAGTTTGCCCCCGAAGAAGAAAAGTCCACCTTTCGAAAACGCTCGGGTTATAGGGCTTTTATTCATTTCTATCAAGACTTCTTGAAACTACGTGTTTTTCTAATATCATGAAGAAACTCGGTAAATTATTGCTTGTGAAATGCGTGTGCGTAAGTTTTAAAATGTTAAAAGTTCTACATAACACAAATATACATAAGCTTATGTATTAAAGTTTTGTTCTTTACTATACAATTTTTTCACTAAAAAATAAGCGAATAATCATGGAGGTTTTTAGTCTAGTCCAAAGTAAATGTACCACGTGTGAAATATTAGTCAAAATATTTCTTAATATAGACCAAGCGGCAACTTTTTATCTCGAACTCTTTTTTTTTTTTTTTACTTTTTCAAGCATACATTTTTCAGAGTATATTATCTATGTATTTGATTCAAGAAAATCATCAACAGCGAATAGAATATTTAAAACATTCGTGAAATAACAATGTTACACATCTTATTAATGCTTAAATAGCACAATAAGAAAAAATATGTTTAATATCATTGTCCTATTAGAGTTATCATTTTAACTTTAGATAAACCCAATTCAGAGAGTTCAGTATATACTATGATTCAGTCTATAACTAGCAGAGGCGTCGCTAGGTGCTTAAAAGATTCGGGCTCGAGCCCATAGATGCGGGAATTTTCGGCGTTTCATATGATATCAATCATGGTTTTCTATTCTGAGTTTTCAGGACACCAACTAGGGATTCGGGACACTGTCAAGTAGAATCGGAGCACGGGTCCCGTGTGTCATTGCCTAGCGACGCCTCCGATAACTAGATAGTTAATGCTTTTTACCTAATAACAGAAAACTTTGTCTAACATCGTAGTGACTTTTTCATAAAGACATCAAAATCTGTGGACGATTTTTGTCCTGAAAATTCCACACCCTCCTAGTCTAACGTGTTTGTAGTGCTTTTGGTTTTGTATGTCTATCTCTCATGTTAATCATGCTAAACCTTTTCAAATTTAAATGTTCCATGAAATATAATCCAAATTAATCAATATTTTTTTGTTTATATTATACACGCAAACTAGAAAATTAACTGTTTTTGGATGTTTACACAAAATATAAAAACGTTACGTAATGTCATATTCCATATGCAAATCTCTATTGTTCTTTGAACGAAAACAAGGATTCTTGAAAATCCCTAAGGGACTTGTTATACAATGCAGTTTTTAAAAAGTATAATAGACATAATGCTAATGACTACTAATTATAATCGTGCTTAGCCAGCTTTAAAAAGGCGTTCGCATCATAACAATTGTTTGTTGTAACAAATGGCTTAAATAAATGGTGTTCCGACCACTACAGTCTTTGTATGTCTTAGCCAGACTGAGGGGTTCTGGATTGAGCGAAATTTGTCGTCGGCAATAAATACATATTGTGGTTAAAATACAATTATTATACATTTTTTTTCAATTCTTGAAAATTCATAAGGGACTAGTTAAAGAATGTAGTATTTAAACATTTAATATGACTAATACTAATGTTTAATAACAAATCAAATAATTATAATCATGCTTCGCCAGCTTGAAAAAAAAAAAAGCGTTAACACCATAATAAGTGATATATTAAATAAATAAAATAAATGAAACATTTTAGCAACATACCACCTCATAATCCTGAAATTCCTACTTATTTCTAACCGTTTATTAATGATCATGTTGAATCATTGGATAATTTCATGGTACAGTATTCAGTATAAGGGACTAACACAACCACTGAGTGTATTTGCTCACTTTTTATGTAATATAGGAAGTGTTCATATAGTGGATTTAACTGAAACACTGATCATTTTCTAAATTATTTCTATATCCCATGTGTTGTTAGTGACCATGTAAACATCACTCTTATTGTCACTATATAATTCTAGTGTTAGAATTGACATAATCGTTTGATTGACATAACCGTTATCTATAGGTAAATTTATACCTTCAGGAGAATCGGGTATAATTCGGACTTCTTCCTTTGTCATAAGAGACTGTTTGCTTCTTTGTTGAATTTCGCGCAAAGTTGTCTGCGCTAACCGTACCTACGCTTAGTAGTGATGGGCTAGAGTTAAGACTACCAACCACGAACTCTAGGCCTTCTCTTTACAAATGAATAATGGGATTGACCGCGACATTATAATTCTCCCACAGACTAAAAGGTGAGAATGGTCAGTGAGGGGATTTGAACCCTCAACCTGCATATTGCAAGCCGAACGCCCTAACCATCAGGCTATGCAAGAAAACTGAAAAAAAAACTAAACCAAGGAAACTTGAGCACGTCCGCTATGAAGCTGGTAACGAAACAAATCTGAGAACCGAGATATTTATTGTTTTAAACAAATTAATTTTTTAAAATGATATAATGTGCTTTATAACAATTTCCATTCTTTTTTTTTTCACAAGTCTCGAAAAATAATAATTTGAGTACATTAATTCTTAATAACATGTTGTTTTTCTTGGTTGTGTTTGTCTGATTTCACTGAATCTTTGTGTATTACATATTTGTACCGATATTACTTTTAGACCTATAACACGTTCGAGGGCGCTCGACTCGTAATCTTAGGGTCGTGGGTTCGAATCCCCGTCACACCAAACATGCTCGCCCTTTCAGCCGTGGGGGCGTTATAATGTGACGGTCAATCCCACTATTCGTTGGTAAAAGAGTAGCCCAAGAGTTGGCGGTGGGTGGTGATGACTAGCTGTCTTCCTTCTAGTCTTACACTGCTAAATTAGGGACGGCTAGCGCAGATAGCCCTTGTGTAGCTTTGAGCGAAATTCAAAAAAACAAACAAACAAATAACTCGTTCGACGCTTTTGTAAATATTAGCGTTTAAGTATTTAGATTTGACATGACTCAGCTTGATAACACTATAACGTTGTAATGCAAGATTTAATCTGACAAGACTCAGCTTGATAAGACTATACACTTAGTGCTAGATTACTGCGCAGCTGGTTGTTGGTATTTTATTAAAAGTCCTTTTCAATGTTGATTACGTTTTTTTTTTATTTCGAACAAAAAATACTTTGGTTTCGAAATATCACTTCAATTTATAAAATATATTTGACTACAAGAAACTGAGACAATAAACTTTAGGTTTTCATTTGTGCTTAACTACATCGAACAAATTATTTAATACTATTAGATGTTTTATGATATATTTATTTAATCTGATTTGATAAATATTAATTATGTATTTGACACATAAATCGGTTTTTATGGTAACAGCCTAAGAGAGGAACAATAACCAAACTATGTAATAAGAATCTTAGATTGAAACTTTTCTGAAACTTTCGTCTTAATAGAACAAAGAAGTAGAACAATTTTATATTTTGCGAACTTGATGGAAAAGACTGTCAAGTTAATGAACTTACAAAATATTTGTAGCTATCATTTCTAAACAGAATAATACGTATTTTTTTCTGCACTTTACTATACATCCTTTTCATTAATACATTATTTATTTTTATATTTTCAGAAATGTAACTGTTACATATACAATATATTTTGATCACCAGATGTCGTGATGGGAAGTTTTACGTTAGAAGAACGCTTGTTTCTCAGCTTCTATTCTAAAGAGGTAAGTCACGACAATGATATCGTTGGCTATTGTAAGCTATAATAATGTTTCCAAACTACCCAGGGTTTTTAACTTGTTCAAAAATTTAACCTGGGATTAATTTAGTTAATATGATTTAATATCTTAGTCCCCACGCACTAAAGATCGTAAAAATTAAGGAACCTGCTTAACAACATTTTACAATTTTACCCTGCTTCACCAAGAACGTAAAGTATTATAAAAAAAAACGTATTTACCCAAAGCATCTTAATCTTGGTAAAGATGAAAATTTTTGTTCTCTGCAACTAATAAATCAAACACAAATACATTTTATCTGTCCACCACCATCTCTGTTTTTGACTGTTACATATTTCATGTTTTTACACAGAACAGTTAAAAATGGTAAGCTATATAATTACAACCTAACTTTAGGAAGATCACAAGTGATCCATTCAAGAAATAATTATATTATTTCCTTATACAATTTCTCAGCATATTCACAATGCTTTTGATATTATGTACATTAAAAGTTTAATTTCAAACTCTCCAATGATATGAAAATGAGAAAATTACCAATAAAGTACTTCACTCATTGAAACAGAGATGTTACCGATTGAAGAGATGATTTTGAGGTAGTACTCGGAGCAGGTGATGTACGTCGATATTGTGCCATGTTATGTCCAAACGGCTGGTTCGGGTCCCTTATCTCATGATACGCCATGTCTTGTCCCGCTGGTTGGTTCGAGTCCCCTGGCTTATTATTCTCCATTTGCTCTTCTATCACGTGAAACATCTTGGTACTGAACTGTAGAGCCTTAGCCCTGAGCCCCAAGGTGTCTATGCTGTTACATCTCAATTCCTCCCTATTAGATACTGGGTTAGAAGAACTGTTGTGTTTAATAGACATACTCACTAGTGTTGAAGGTTCTTCACAAGAGCCTGCTACAGCCTGCTTTGATCGTGCTTCTTCAGTTGTAGTCTCAATGCCCTTCTCCTCTTGTTCGTTGTTGTCCATACTACTGTCCGAGTCCTTCAGTTTTTCCGCTGCTTCCTGGGACTTCTGGTACATGCCTGTTTGCGACAGATGACCAGAAGACGTCAGTGTTAGGCCTAAGTTGCGGTCTTCGTGATGGTTGAACACTAACAGGAGGTAATAGGGGTGGTGTTTGTGACATGGTATAGAATAAAGTAGAGAGTGTGGCCTGGCAAACGGCATAGTTTATTTACCTAAATTAATTTATGTGTATTGTGACACAGAATTAAATGACACTAGAACAAGGAGCATGGTTTATGTATTTTAACACGTTTATATATGGTGAAATTCTTGATCAGACCAAGTGGATCTTTACAGGTTGAATATTAACACCAACAATGTTTGTGTAGTAAATAAAAAAATAAAAAATTCTTGTTTAATAGTGTTTGGATAGTAAACATTCTATCATCAAATAAAAAAAATCACATTTCTATGTTTAACAATGTTTGGATAGTAAACATTCTATTATTAAATATAAAAAAATCACATTTCTTTGTTTAGCAATGTTTGGATAGTAAACATTCTATCATTAAATTAAGAAAATCACATTTCTTTGTTTAGCAATGTTTGGATAGTAAACATTCTATCATTAAATTAAGAAAATCACATTTCTTTGTTTAGCAATGTTTGGATAGTAAACATTCTATCATTAAATTAAGAAAATCACATTTCTTTGTTTAACAGTGTTTGGATAATAAACATTCTATCATTAAATGAAAAGTCACATTTCTTTGTTTAACAATGTTTGGATAGTAAACATTCCATCATTAAATGAAAAGTCACATTTCTTTGTTTAAAAATGTTTGGATAGTAAACATTATGTTATTAAGTTCACAGTAGAAGAGGAGTTTACATCTAAATAATCTTTTTTGGATACAGATACACATAATAATAATGATAAAGCTTTAATACTGATTACTAAAGGGCTTGTAAAAGCTTTCAAGTAATCTTATGCCCAAAGTTGTTTTCATTTTAATTTAATCAAAACTTATTATTCTGATATATTGAATTACAACTATTTATATACTATCTAATTAAAAATGAAAACGATTAAAGTGTTTTTAAAGTTAGTGATAAAAAATATATACAACGAAGTTTTAACAAAACTACCACCCCTCGTAATCTTAATGTTCCAAAAAAAAACAAAAAAAAACACGCAGAGTATCCTTGTGTTATCTGTAATTATGTGCATATAAAATCAAATTAGTTATTGGAACCAAAAGCTTGTTAATATTTAAATAAAGTGTATCAAAGGGTAAGCTTTGATTGGTTGGTTGTAAATTTATATACACTTACAAATACACATTAGGTATTGCATAAAAATTGAAAGCAATTTAGAACTCTGACTGTAAATCGAGTCATTTTGTGAATTTAAGTAAAGCTCAAAAGAAAATCGTATTATTTTTCTTAATGAAAAGGATTACGCTGTACCAAAAAGTCTTAGCTAGTTTGATCATCATTACTATCATGGTGATAAGTACCAATAGAATGTGGCGAAGCTTTTCATTTTTTTCAACGTGAAAAGTCCGTTCTCTAGTGTCGCACAAAGTGTTCTACTTTCATTTCAGTGCATATTGAGGGACGTTTACACTCAATGTTTTGTGTTACGGACCATGTTCAGTGACAAACATTCTATTAACTCCTCGTCGTTTGAGTTTTAAAACGCAGAATATTTTCAACAACTATTTAAGCAAGCTCACTTCAGAAAAACCTACAACGACTAGTCCCGAAGTAGATGACAATGTTCAACACTTATAGGTGTACGAGCAAATGTAATACTCGAAAAGACATGTACAGATCCATAAACGCACAACTATGTCTAACCGATAAATAGATGACTGTGTTTAAGCCCTAAGCTAACGAACGTATTGGCTGTCTCAAAGTCCTAAGTAAATGAATGTGACCAGACTCTTAAGTAGACGACAGTGCTTTGTCCCTAAAATAGAAGACTGTGTCTAGACCCTAAGAAGACGCCATATTAACCCCTAAATAGTAGACGGTGTTCAGCCCCTAAGTAAATGGCCATGTTCATCTCTAAGTAGTGTGTGTGTGTGTGTGTGTGTGTGTTTTCTTATAGCAATGCCACATTGGGCTATCTGCTTTGTCCACCGAGGGGAATCGAACCCCATCTCCGCATACCAAAACACAGTTCGATGGAATCTGGGGGATTATTTGGTGTGCCAAGGTTTTCTTAAGGGCCCTGGATACAATGCCATTACCAATCAAACCCCAAATATAAAACTAAATTTGATCCCCCCTATTCTTTTTGCTGTTTCAATATATATTGATTACTTAAGGATATCAAATATATTTCCCCTTTTTTTTTCAATTTAAAATACGTTTCCAATTGAGGCGTGTCTCAATAATATAAACAAATCTGGTAATAAAAGAGGAAATTCAAACAACAACAAAAAATAAATAATAATATGCTAAAAGTAGATGAAGGCAAACTCTTTGTGTTGTTGGTTTGGAAGAGAAAAATGAAAATCAGCCTAAAACTTTCCATTCGGGGTTTGATGCTAGTAATTACCATGAACCAAGTGCTACCACTTTGAATAAATCGATTGACAATGATGAAATGTCAAATGATACTGATACGAATAACAATGATAATATCACAGCATATCATGTAAAAGAAAAGCAAAGTGACTATGTACAGCTAAATGTAATCATACTGGAGCAACATTTTCAAAAAATGTTCCTGAAAAGCAACACCAGCTCAGTGGCTTTGGTGTTGGTACCCTGACTGCTTAGAGTGTATCAATTGAAAATCTTGAACTAGCTGTTACATAGAGCTGGGCTTCTACAACACCATAAATATTCCCCTTTTCCAAGTTCTCTTCTAAAGTCTTTGCTGCAAAATGGCGAATACAGTAAACGTGACTGACTAGCTTGGAGTAATATTAGGCAAGCTTTCTACTGTTTCAACTGTTGACTTTTTGCCAAGACTCCTGTTACATCACTCTTTATAATTACAACTACAAAAGGCTGTCTACTAACAGCAGGCTGTAAGAAACTTTATGATAGACTACCAGAACATGAGAGAAGTGTTCATCATAAGAAATGCTATACCGAGTGGCGTGAGCTGTAGAGACGCTTTGGAGCAAACTCCTGTGTTTATTTGTAGCTTGAGAAGAATATTCTTTCAAGAGCAGCCAAATGAAAGGATATCCTAAAGATAACTATAGGTGTTGTTCTTTTCTTGGGGGAGAAAGGTTTTAGCCTTTCGTGGTTAATCATAAAAGGATTGGTGCACTTGATAATGGTAATCTTTAGGAATAATTGAGCTGCTCAGTCATTACGATTTAGTCCTAAGGGAGCGTTTAGAGAGAGTTACAGAATCTCATCGAGCAGGTTACCATCTTCAATCCCAGTACTTCTCTGGTGAGTCTCAAAATGAATTCATAGCAACCTGTGCTCAACATTTATGTTACATTACTTTACAGGGAAGACCTGCAGCAAAATACTTTGCTATCATGGTACATATAACACCTGATTTATCTCACCAAGTATAAACATCCTGAGGTATGTATTCATGCCATCAGAATGTTCTTTCTTTGTCATTCAAGAAAAGTTTTTAAGAGATATTGATTGCAATAAGAAGATAAGGGCGGATATTTCTAATCTAGCTGATCATGAAATAGGAATAATGGATTACAGAGCCCAAGGATATGACAATGGGTCCAACATGGCTGGTGAGTATAATGGTGCTCAAGCTCTATTACTAAAAGTTAATCATCCGGATAAATTCTCACCACGAGCTCGGACATTCTTTGGAATAGTTCAAAAGTTTTACAATCTATTTTGTTGTAACCCAAAGCGATGGAGCATTATTCTGAAGACTATAGGCTGTTCTCTTCATGAACTTCCTGGAACACGATGGACAGAGTTGATAGTTAGGCCTTTTGCACCTTTTACAATCCTGGGAGTATGGATGCACTATCTGAAAATTTTCAACTTAATTTTACATTTCAAAAAAGAACTGAATTTAAATTTATAACTGACTATGTGCAGTCGTTTCCTTGCATTTCGATTGCTGGAATCTGGTTAAAGGTATTTGTAATCATCCATTAGCGCAATCAAGTATTGCTGGCCGTAAAGCTATCATTGATATTGTAGTGAGCAACAATGAAAGTCTGTTGATTGATTTAAAAACTGGTTGCAAATAATATTAATATTCTGCCACAACTGTTTGCAAAATGAAAAACAGCTACCAAGTATTTTCATGCCTAATTGTGAAGAAAATGAACCTGTAGAGGAGACAAAATTTAGATGAAACACATTTTATAAGATCATAGATTCTGTTATTTCTGGGCTTACAAGATATTGAGCAGCTATAGATATTAATCGGGTTTTTTTGTTTGGAATATACAGAATTGAGAATGAGCTACATTAAAAAACTAGGGAGTTTATTGCCAAGTATAGATATGATGGGTCAGAAGACTTAGTGAGAGAAATTAAATATCTGAAGGCCATCAGGCTATCCACAAAGCTAACTTTGGTGATACGGCATTAAATCCTTTATATCTTCTAAATAAACTGCACAAATTCAAGCTACATTCACTTTTCCCAAAGAAACATTTGGCAAAACTTGCTGCACAATTCCAGCCACAGTTGCAGAAGGGGAGATATATTTTAACAAGGGGAAACCGATGAAAAAAAAAACGTATTTACACTCCACCATTGCCCAAGACGGAGTGACAGATCTGGGAACCTTTGCAACTGAAAACCATAAATTCCATATTTTGGATTTCGGCAGAATCATTGATCATTTTGCCAGACAGAAGGCAAGAAAACTACACTTCTAACAATGAAAATTATACAGTAAACGATTGTCTGGCCTAATGATGATAAACCCACTTATGTATTAAAAATAGCAGGAAACTATAAACCTGATTTATATTTAACCAGTTCTACCTTATTTTGCTATGAAATAACTGAAATATGTGCAATTAAGTATTGTTTTTATACATTCACCGTATTAAACAAACATGAAACTCATTGTATGAACATTTTTTCTCTTTGTTAATATATTTCACTTCTTTAATAAAATCATTTAATCTGTGACGTTTATGATTTTCTTTAAGACAGCAATGTGTTTATGTATTAGTGCATTTGTCAGTTGTATGGTGGTAGAGTTATGCGTTTATTCCTTAAGCATTTTAGCCCATTTTCATCTGAGTAGTTTGTTAAAATATTATTAATAGTGTTTGGATATATATTCAATTTGCTTGTTATGTATGCAACGAATAACAAACATACATAATAAAACACTGTTTAAATATACCTTGTGTTATAAAATAAGCCTAAAACTTCATAATTACTCATAAATTGCTGTATTTAATTAAGGCAAACTAACGACTAATAAATGTACACTAATACTACTCTTACAAATTTTCAAAATATAATATCCAACTGTAAAATCTATAACAAAAACACAATAGGGTAATAGGATACAAATGTTATGGTAAATCTACAAAGATGGTATGTAATAGTGCATGCTTTTACTCCACAATTGGATAAATTATCCTATTAAACATTCGGCAGGCCTGACTGGGAGTTAGGGTTAATAGAGTATAAACTGTTAGATAAATCTTGTTTATTACAAAATGAGATAAGAAGATGATTTTAACCCTACATGTGAATACTGATACCAAAAATTCTTGCAGTTAAAGGCATCGTGTATATAGTGCTAGTACCAACACGGACAAAGTAAGGGTTAAAGTCCTGGAAACTTAAAGCGGTTGAATACAACTGGTTTTTAATTGGTGTTATCAACAAGTTGTGAAGTGTGAAAATAACACGTTTTAATTTTTCACTTTTTCCCTCCAGTTTGTGAAAAGCGGTGATCTTAAAGAAACTTGAATTCGTGAATTTATTATGTTGATTACAGAACTTTTTCGTTTTTAAGTTGTTAAATCTGTAGTAATCACGTGTCATATCTTCCTGATATTTACTTTTTGAACCACACCCTACTGACATATCAAACTTTGAAACACCATATACATTAGTGAAAGATATATCATAATAGCAAAAATAGTTCTTCTCTGAAACACACTAAAAATGTGATTTTACTTTAATTAGAATGAGCGGTTTTACTTCTGAAATAACAAATCTTTAAATACAATGCATTTCATAAAACAATATATAATTATAACACTTTTAATGAGAATACGATTATAACTATATTACTGATAATGTTATAAGTCAAATGTTATATATATTAGGAAAACACTCAAAATACAACAATTAAATATAAGTTGTTTTTCCTAAATAATTACGTAAAATAAAATTTGGTGCTTTAACATTTTTTTTAGTTATTGAACCTTTTTTAAATCATGAAGATAATATGTGATATGCCGCTTGGGTGTTACCATGGCAACAAGTGAAGCAATCTAATAACCAAAGAATACTCAGATATTGTCCTGAAATGTACATGCTTAACAATCAAAGAAACGCCTTATCACAACTGTTGCCATGACAACAAAGGTACTTACCTAACAACCAAGGAGCACAGGAAAGCTCTCCTTCTTCACTTTTCTTCGTAATGCTGTCTGGAAGAGGAAGAGAATGTCTAACCATTGCCCCGTATAGTCCATATTCAGCCATGATGGTGCTTTTGCCCCAGCACTTCTCGGTCTTGCGCCACTTCGCTCGTCGGTTTTGAAACCAAACCTGGGAAAGTGAAGAAAGAGACGAACAATGTATTACTGAACCAAATATATATTAAATAAATTGCTGTAGATGTGCTATTTTTCCCAGGTTGGACCATCGGCATATTTAGTAGCTTACTACTCTAAAATCCAAGGTTGGTTACCCTGGTGGGTAGGACGCAGATAGCCCAAGATGTAGCTTGCGCTATATAAAAAAAAAACATTCTTGCATAGCGCTGGCTTTTTTATTTGATTAAACTATTAAAATATAATAAATGATTCAAAAGTTAGAAACCCTAACGTTTTGTTCCAACAAAATCCTTAATAAACACGTGTTTTTCTGATGCCACTTGTTTAAAGGTCATTAATACCTAGGAAATTTATTGTTCGATAGACTCTTGAACGTTTTTGTTTATATGAAATTCAATGCACAAAATGTCTGGGCTGGGTAAGGTGAGTATTCAGTTCTACATAATGTCTGGGCCGGGTAAGATGTGTATTCAGTTCTACACAATATCTGAGCCAGGTAAGGTGAGTATTCAGTTCTACACAATGTCTGGGCCGGGTAAGGTGAGTATTCAGTTCTACTCAATGTCTGAGCCAGGTAAGGTGAGTATTCAGTTCTACACAATGTCTGAGCCAGGTAAAGTGAATATTCAGTTCTACACAATGTCTGAGTCAGGTAAGGTGAGTATTCAGTTCTACACAATTGTCAGGGTTTTATGCAAGTGAGTGAGCTGGGATTCTTCTACAGTAGGTGTCTGTGACTTGTTGGCGATAAATTCGAACGATAAACGGACAACACACAATCTACTTGTTTTAAAATAATATATTCAAAACAAGTCAAACATATGTACAAAAATTCTTTACACGATAGGATATCACAGTTGTATCTAAAACCCTAAATAATTATCTTTCATTGTCAAAAGTCTATACGGCTAAACTAACAATCATGCAGTTTAACTTAAATTTCACTAACTTAATGTTTTCTGACTTAATTTCACTTAATTTTTGTTGATTACCACAGTTGTATCTGGAGTTTTAAATAATTGTCTCTTTTCTTCGTCAAAAGCCCACACAGGCTGGTTCAGTTACTTTAGAACCCAACTGACAAGACAAATTATTGTTGTTACAATACAGCTGTGAAACACACCACATAAATCACCAGTTAAGGCTAATCGCTCACATGCCAGGTAACTTCACGTTTTCTAATTTTTTTGACTGAACTTTAAATATTAACTTCTTTAGAAATTGACGGCCACGGCGAAACTGCCAGTCACTCAGTCTAGATCTGTCTAATTATCTCTCAATTGAATTGATTTTACTCTACTGAACTTGCGCTTGCCAGTCACTTATATATATATATCTTGTTCACTGAGACCTCTAACTTTCTATAAACTACGCGGCGCTATAATGGAACAATACTCACTTGAGGTAACGAGAAAAATACCGAAGGTTCGAGTAACGTGACATCAAAAATATTACTAAAGCCTAGTACAACAATCTAACTGCATATACAATGCACGACTTGTACGAGTTACGTAACGAAATTTGTCAAAACCAACGCTTTTAAAACAATCAACCTTCAACACTCCTGTCATCAAAACTAAACAATCATTTAATTTTAAGTCACAAAATAAACTAAACAGTAACACTTACATTAAACAGTCTTGTATATCCAACAATAACAATTGACAATATTTTTTCTACTATATACAAAGACTGTTCTCAGTTCATACACTAAGTCTCTTTGTATAATCTGCACCAAGATTTACAGTTCCTTTGTCGGTCTCTCCTCGTGTAGGGCATCCCGGTAGGGCTTTGCCTTGACAGGATCACTTGTCTTCATCTTAATCTTGTGTTGCCTGAGATCTGTCTTGCCTAATTTATCTATATACTGGCACAGTAGATTTTGTACCACTTTCCTCTTCTTGCCAGTCAGTTCTTCATTTCTGTTGACGTCATTGTATATCTCATCTTCACCCAGTGGTTTTGAGTCTAGCAGTTCTTCATTTTCTATACAAATTTGCTGTCTTTTGGTTCTGCATCTATAACATCCACACCTGCCCTGTCCATCTGTGCCTCAATAGCTGCACCTATTAGGTCTTCTATCCCCAACAGATTGAAGTGGTAGATCTTGATCTTCCTATTCACTTTCACTTTACAGTACATTCTGTTTGTTACTTCCTGTAGTTCAAAAGGTCATTTCCACTGCAGGGCGAGTTTGTTGTTGTCTGTAGGTAGTAAAACTAAGACCTTCTGTCCGACCTTCAAATGTCGATTCTTGACCTTCTTGTTATAGAAGTGGTTCTGGCTGCCTTTGATGGGTTTGGCTTCCCCAGTTAAACTGCTTTGATAGGTTCAGTTCAATATTCCTTTTCGGTCCTCTGTTTTGTAAGTCTCTTTCCATGTTGTCTTGCATTCCACTTTCTCTTGGGCACAATGATGGGTCTTTCTTCTGTGTTTTCTTCAGCTCTCGTGAACTTACATTCGAAATGTCACTTTTAGAGACTTTAAGGGGCTTGATATCTTGCTTTCTCTTCTTTCCTTGAGCTTTAGTGGTGACTGCAGAAGCCACATCATTCTTCTTTCTGATTAGTGCTTCCAAATTTCTACTACATGTATGTTTTCAATCACCAATTGTATATTGGTGCCTTGATACACATGGCCTCAAGGTCTGGTACATATATTCTTGCCATAGGAAACATTCTCACTGTTCCATCAATTAACACACATAGATGTAACTTGCCTATCGTCTGGTCATCAGATACTAGAATGGTTCTCACTGCTGCGCTACTGCACTCAGTGTCTCATAAGACCTTTACATCCTTATCCCCAACATAGCCTTCGCCTATTGGCATGTTGTGATTTGTTGGTATCTCTCGATATTTGTAACATGTTTCGATCACTTCTGGTACTGCTGATCCATTTGTTAACTTGAGCCGACCATTAGTCGTACACTGATCAATCATGGAAATGGCAGATGCTTCTTATGGTGAATCTGGCGTGTTTTCTGGATTCTGTTTCTTCTGACAGTCAATATTTTCTCATTTCTTGCTAGCATAATCTTTTTGGGTAGCTCCAGTTGTTTTGTGTTGAGATTTTTGCTGTTGCCTGTTGGTAATGGACTTGCACTCCTTTGCAATGTTCTATATTTTGTGACACATATAGCATCTCTTTGCTATCTGTTGAGATGTCTACTGTTGTTTGTTCATGATGGACTTGCACTCCTTTGCAATGTGCCCTATTGTATAACAAATATAGAATCTCTTCTCCCTTTTGTCTGTTAAACTCCTGTCACCTTTGGTAAACTCCTGCTCCTGGTCAGCTGTCACTGGTTTCGACTATAACTGGATATTCTTGGACTTGCCAGTTATACTCCCTTCATGGCCTTCCATATACTGTTCTGCCAGCTTAATCATCTCATCCACGTCATTTGGTGCTCTCTCCTCTAAGAAAAGTGGTATGTCAGTTGAGCACATGATCATGAACTGTTCACATATTAATAGATCTGCCAGTCCCTCTAAACTACTGCCACACTTGACCATGTCAGTCTATCTTGTGAAGTATCTCAGTAGACATGCCACAAAGTGAAATACAGTTTCTCCAGTGACAGATTTCACTTCTCTGAATCTCTGGAGAAAAACTTCCTTGGTAAGTTCATAGCATTTCAGCAACGCCAGTTTTAATTTGTCATAGTCCATGGCATCTTTTGACATCATGCCTGCATACATTTACTGGCCTTTCCTGTGAGAAGTGCGCTGAGACAGACTGCCCAATCGCTTTAGTCCCAGTTCTGTCTTTGCGTGAATCTTTCATATCTCTCCAAGAAAGCTTCCATGTCGTCTTTCTATTCATAAAATTGAGGCAGCCTAGATCGACTGGCCCTGACCCCATTGTCTTCTTGGGTCCTTCTTCTTTCTGTTGGATGAGCTTGGGGAATCTCAATTTGTGCTCATATTCTCTCTATTTCCAGCCTCTCCACTCTCTCATTTTCTTCTTTCTCAATTTGTGCTCTTATTATTTCTCTCTCTATTCCAGTCTTTCCTTTCCCTCATTTTCTTCTTTTAGTCTTTCTTCCTCTCTTCTCTGTTTCTTCTCATCTCTCTTTTGTTGCTACTCTTCTCTCTCTAGTTCTTGTTGTTGTTTAACAAACTCTCATAGTTCACTATATTTTAACCCAAGACGCTCACCTCTTCCAATTCACTTATCAAAATCTGTTGACACGGTTAAACAGCGTGATTGTAATCTTTACACTATTATCACCACCACTATCGTTGTGCTTATATAGGCCTATTTATTTCCGCTGTCGTTCACGTCTTCTTCAGCCGCCGTTTACCACTATATGTATAATCCTGGCTCACTTGCCAAATGTCAAGGTTTTATGTATATATGTGGATTGGGATTCTTCTACAGTAGGTGTCTGTGACTTGTTAGCAATAAATTAGAACAATAAAAGGACAGCACACATTCCACTTGTTTTAAAATAATATATTCAAAATAAGTCAAACATATGTACAAAAATTCTTTACGCAGAGTGTTCCAAAGCGTCATCCCATCAAATGATTCATAAACTTGTCTTAAGAATGTGTAAGTATTGTGTTATCTTGATAATGGGAGTACGCTGAAGCATCGTTACTGCAACGAATCTATAAACGTGTTCTAGGAATGTATAAATACCGCGATAACTGGATAATGGAAGTACGCTGAAGCGTCGTGACATCAAATAATCCATATTAATTTGGCATTCGTCCTATTTTCTATAAATTAAAATGAAAGTTATGAATATTACCTCTAACATTACACGAATTAATAAAAAAACAAAACATATATAGCAGCTTCAGAAAAAAAAAATGTGATAAACCTAATGGCAGGAGGAATTGTTTTCTTTAATATTTAACAACCTTTCCACATACCGAATAATTTAGCTGTCCCCGGACACTCAAACACTTTCTCATAAGTGCCAGTGTACGCTAGTTTTAAGGATTAGTTAGAATATTTATAAACTTTTTATTATCATTTCGATTTATATTCCTACGGAAAAGGGTTGGTTGAGCTATATGAAATATTTACAGAAATTTGAACTTTTGTAATTTTGTTGGTGAAAACAAAACAACTGGAAATAAATAAGAAACTCCTTTATTATTTGTACATATCAACAAGATATTTTTATAGCAGATTTTGAAGGTCATTTTTTGGTTTAGGCATTTACGATGTTTGGACTACTAGTACGATTATTCTCAAGTATGGTTATAACGATAATGAAAGTTTTATGTAGATAAATCAACAATATAACAATGAGTGATCAATGTATTTAAATTAAAGATTTGAAAGTTATTACTTATGAGTAGGCAAGTCAACTCGTGTTGATTTACGGTTATTTTCATAAATGAAACATTAAAATTAATATAAATGTGTGGGATATCTGGTGAGGAAAGTTGGCAAAAATTATGAATGTCTAGGATAATCATAATTACACAGATATAGAGTCTTTGTTGACTGTAGGATTATTTAATTTTCTTGATAAGGCTTCTCTGATTGTTCTTCTCTTACGTCTTAATGTGGATTTGTATTGGCGCCAAGCTACATAACAGGCTACTTGTTCTATATTCACCACGTGGAATTGAACATAGATTTGTACCTGTTAATGTCAGGTTCGTGTTTTAGTATAACCACATTCTGTTCAGAAAATCTGTGGTTGTTTTTGTTCGTATTCATGAACTTTAGAAAGGAGTTTTTGGTGTTCTTTTAACCTTTCTTTTAAGGCTTAACATTTTCCACACTGTATTTTGTAAATGTTTCCTGGCGGGGTGGATTCATTACATAGCCCGGTATGACCAAATGATTAGGGCGCTTCACTCGCAATCTGAGGGTCGCGGGTTCAAATCTCCGTCCCACCAAACATGCTCGTTCTTTCAGCTTTAGGAGCGTTATAATGTGAAGGCTAATCCCACTATTTGTTGGTAAAAGATAAGTCAAAGAGTTGGCGGTGGGTGGTGATGACTAACTAGCTTCCCTCTAGTCTTTCAATGCTAAATTAGAGACGGCTTTGCGCGAAATTAAAAAAAAAAACATAAAAATCATTACATAGTTTTATTAATAATTGTATAATTTTCATCTCATCAGTGAAAATGATCTAGTCTTATGTTAAAGTTATATTTACATGCTAGTCTTTTCCAAATCTCTGTTAGAAGTATGCTAATATTTTGTATATGTGGGATAGTGAAAGTGATTAGGTTGCTTTCGTTCTATTGTGTGTGTGTGTTTTATTTATTTTTTATTTTTTACGTTTGTCTTGTCTGTGTTTTTCTTTTTTTTTTAATTCGTTAATAGTTTGTGTAACTACTTTGATAGGAAATTGGTTTATGTTAGTAAAGCATTGAGTTAAGTGTGTTACTTCTTCATCTGTGTTTTCTGTGATGTAGGTAGTGTATGCTAAATTTAAGAGGATTTTTAGAATGCCTAGTTTCTGGGGGAATATATAATTAGAAAACTAGTTTATCTAAGTTGCGCTGTATGAGAACGATTGCACATCTATTGGTAGAAGCGGAAAAATACTGCTCGAGATGATCGTGTTTTATCAGGTTAACACGTCAATGTCGAAATAAGTCTTGCAACACCTTACGACAGAAATAGCATTAACACATTCATTCCAGGGTATCTAGAAGAATAGTGAATAGGAGACTGACCAAAAAAGGCTATTTTGAAAGAAATGCTATCTGCCAACCGATATTAACCATATTTCACCATCATCACCGTTTACTTGGGCAAGACAGCATGCCAACTTACAGTTAGGCCACTAACGACATGTCATCTTTTCAAATGAGTCCTGTTTCCGACTAGTTAAAGTTGATGGTAGGATTTGTATTCGTCGTTTGTCTGGAGAATAGATGAGAGAAGACCATCTTTCCCATAGGGAACGAGCAGGAGGTGGTGCAGTACATGTTTGGGCAGCTATTCATCATGGTGAAAAAAACTGCTCTTAATATCATCCAGAGAAACGTCAATGGCGTTTCCTACAGACATCACATGGAGACTACATTTCTGCCATATGGTAGGGCAAGGTTTGGCAATAGCTTTGTGTTCCAAGATGAAAATTCCACTGCCCACAGAGCCCGTATTGTACAATATTATTTCGATCAGGAGGACGTTACAAGATTGCCATAGCCAGCAAAGTCTCCAGATTGTAATTCCATTGAGAACTGTTGGACAGAACTGAGCCCGAAAATTGCTAACCACGACCCTAAACTAGCTACTGTAGCTGAGTTGCAGCGCCTCCTAAGCGAAGAAATGTATCTAAAATAAAATTAAAAAATTATTCAAAAGCCAAATTTTACCTTTAAATCTCCCCCCCCCCTCCTCGATTTATACACGGGATGTGTGTAATGTATCTCTATTTCGTATTTAAATTTAGTTGTCCATTTATAAACGGTTACGTACGGTAGTGCGAACAGTGGTTTAAAAAACTATGAACATTTTTTAGTAACATTTACTGAAGTTTAATTTTAAGTTTAATTTTTAGTTGATGCACACAAGCCACAATTAATGTGTATATGCACGTATACTGACGTGCAGAAGATATTAAAAGGGTATGTGCTCATTGACAAAAACAAGAACAGTTTTCACGCATCATAAGACAAGACTTTTTTTTTCAAAGGGGTGTTTGGGGTTGTCCATGAGTTGCCTCTTGTACACATAGGGTTGAAGACCATGGGAAGCAATCACATCCAACTTTATTCCTATTCAATCGGTCTTGTAAACACTTTTAAAATCTAAAATTAAACAGTGAATTTTTGAGTATTAGACATAATAGCATATTAGAATTAGAGCTACAAGACCCTGCGTGTATTCATTTTAAAAAATAAATAATTTTTTTTCCTAACTTGCATAAACCAAGGTGTGGAATCAGGCGTGTCTTTTAGTAGGTGTGGACAATTTTTTATGACTAAGATAAAGGGCACTTTTGGGGCATAAGAAGAGGAAGGCGGGGGTTGAGCCCAGCCAGACACCCCTCTGTGTACATCATTGTAAATACACATAGGGGCTTTGATGGCTTTCTTCATTTCACTATCTGGTAATATGGCTCTAAAACAAAACAATATGTAAGACATAACCACCTGCAACACATGATGGTATTAGTAAAAGAACTAAAAAACAAAAGTTAACTTTAATGTGTAGCACATCGTGAGGCTAGTTGACAAACAAAACAAAAACAAAATCACTTTCACGTGCAAAACATTGTCGGAATACTTAAACTACTACATCGAAAAAAATAATAATAATGTCACATAACCTAATTTCTATTAACCCATTCTCCAATCAAGATATCTTTCATTCAGTCTACTTTATTCACGTAAAGATTAAATTTAATCAACAAGCAATATCCTAACACTTCCGTTCCGTTCCCCCAGTGGGTCACTTATTATTTTATGGACTTACAACTTTTACACTCCGCTAAAACAAACAAACGTGCCTAATCTTACCTACAGCCCTCTCTGTTGCACTTTGCAGAGCCTACAATTCGATCTTACCTGTATCCGATCCTCTGCCAGGTCAGTTTTTAAAGACAACATTTCTCTGGCGTATACATCCGGGTAATGAGCCTCTTTGAAAGCATTTTCTAGTTCATCCAGCTGAGAGCTTGTAAAGATAGTCCTGGACAGAAGCAAAAACGTATTTTAATTGTTAATCACAGTAAAATGTTTCAACATCAAACCGATCAGGTTGTGATTATCAGATATCAATCATCGTCATGGTTAGAAGTCTACACAAACTATTATTAATCAATACCTATTCTTAAACCACAACACAATAGTACACACCAAACCATACAGGAGAAGAAAAATACCACTTACAACATCCTTTCTGAATGTGGATTCCATACGTACAATGGAGAAACAAAAAAGATCAACAAAAGTTAGAACTTAGGAACATAATAGACATGCAAGGCTCGATAATATCGATCTATCTGCAATAGTCCATCATGTTAAAAACAAAAAAGACTGTAAGATAAGCTAAAACAATAGTTAAATACTATAAGATCAACTGTAATAATAGTAAAATACTAGAAAATGAGCCAACATTTTTATGTTCATCCAACTGATAACATGATCAATCAACCTGGCATTAATTAAAGTCCTAAACGAGAAGAAAGAAACTAAACGTGTGTATAATGCATCAGACCTTCTATCAAGAAAATCGAAGATCAAATTTCGGCCACCACCAGCACAGACATATAGTCCTTCTCAGGGTATTGTTCTAAAAGGAGGAACTACCAACACAGAAATACAGTCCTTCTCAGGATATTGTTCTAAAAGGAGGAACTACCAACACAGAAATACAGTCTTCTCAGATTAGTAGCCTAAAAGGAGGAACTACCGTCATAGAAATATAGTCCTTCTCAGATTAGTAGCCTAAAAGGAGGAACTACGTCACAGAAAAATAGTCCTTCTCAGATTAGTAGCCTAAAAGGAGGACCTACCGTCACAGAAATATAGTCCTTCTCAGATTAGTAGCCTAATAGGAGGAACTACCAATACAGAAATACATTCCTTCTCAGATTAGTGGTCTAAAAGGAGGAACTACCAACACAGATATATAGTCCTTCTCAGATTAGTAGCCTAATAGGAGGAACTACCAATACAGAAATACAGTCCTTCTCAGATTAGTGGTCTAAAAGGAGGAACTACCAACACAGATATATAGTTTTTCTCAGACTAGTAGCCTAAACGTAGGAATTTACAAGAAAAAAATATAGTAATTCTTATATTTGCAGCTTAAACATAATATAAAACTAATTAGTTAATAGTTATAAATAAAATATTAAACATCATTTACTAATTGCACTTAAGTGATCGTATACGCTCCTTACCGCGACAGGGATCAAACCCAGTCACCAGTCGTTTTTAAGCTTTCTTTTATATTACTTGTATGATAAGTTTGCCGTACGACACTGCAACATATATATTTTTGTATATTTGCAGAGTGGTGGTTAGCCGTTTATTGTTTGCTAAAAACAAATGTGTCCCAAGTGAAGGCATGCTTGGTAAAGTGAATGACGTGCCGGGCTGCGTTAAGGAACGTTCAAGCTCCACGACAGGCAGTTGAACAGGTTCCTCATTTGTGGTGTTATAACCATAGGTAGAAATAACCGTGCAGCGGAAGGAGCTGATGACTGATTGCTTTCCTTCTTTCCAGATTGTTATCACCAGAACTGTGACTTACTCATTTAGCATAAGGTGCAGTAAAGGTGAAAATACCAGATGAATTAAATGACTATTTTTAACTGAGGTCTTTCATATTCAGCTCACTTATCAAGTGTAATGGACAGTAAAGAAGATGGATTGAGAGATTATTTTTATAGACTTACTATAATCCTTACAGAGTAAAAATACCAGAACTGTTTGAAGAATTCAGAAACATTTCCAATATAAAAGCAACAAATAGTGGAGGCATCCGAAAGTTAATGCATATTATAGATGTATGTCTTTTATATGTATCGGACTGTGTGTATGTATGAAGTTATACAACGACCCAGTTATATGTTGAAGATAGAAATTATCAACGGTTTACTTTTATGCAGTTCAAAATGTTTCTGATGGAAGAAGGAAACGTGGTTATTTCGTATAACAGGGAGAAAAATATAACAAATGAATAAGCTCAAACTTAGATCTTTGTTGCCCCCCAGTAGCACAGCGGTATGTCTGTGGACTTACAATGCTATAAACCGGGTTTCGATACCCGTGGTGGACAGAGCACAGATAGCCCATTGCGTAGCTTTTGCTTAATTACAAACAAACAAGATATTAAGGTCTGTTCCACGATGGAACAGCGGTAAGTTTACGGACTTTCAACGCTGAAATACAGGGTTCAATTCCCCGCAGTGGAGCCAGCGGATAGTCTGCCCGTTGTGGATTTGCTTTGAAAGAAATGAACAAACACTTGTTAAGTTCTAATGAGATCACATGTTTTAAAAGTTTCAGTGGTTCATTAGCCTATACCAAAATTCTTGCACTAAGAAAACTGTAGTGCGAAGAGAAAAGAATGGCTAGTTTGACCGTTATTACTATTAAACAAATTATCTAACGTATTATTAAACTTTGTATAATTCAGAAAGTAGTTATTTAACGAATTTCATTCTCTTGACTTCTTATATAATAGAAAGAATGAGAATAAACTGTATATGTAGGGTCACAAACAGGTTAAAATTTATTTGTTTTTTCTTCTTCATATTCAATGGTTAAAGGAAGAAAACATTTTGTTCCCAACAAAACAAGGAGTTATTATATTTTCCTGTAGAATTATCTTGTTAAGAGGCTGTTAAGTAACATAAAAAATGATGTAACTATTTACTTGACATACCTGTGTCTTCGTTTTTTCTTCTTCTTCTTGTTTACCCCGAAGATATCTTCATTACTACTTCCATAACTCTGCACATCAGGAGAAACACCTGTGAAAGAGAGAACAAAGGATATTTAATCAACAAGTTAAGAAAACAGAGATTTAACAATGTTGCTATCCGGCAACAAACGGATGTCTTGCATTGTTTGATCTAGCTCAGCCTCATCAACCGTGCAAGAAGATCACATGTTCAGTCTCTAGCATGTCGACATAAATCCAGACCCGTCAGTAGCCTGGCGACATCACTCCATATCTTCCATAGCATGACGAAATCCTGGCCTGTCTGATGCAACGACACAAATCCAGACCCATCATAGGTTGCAGAAGTCTATCTAGACCCAAAATAGCATGCTGAAATCAGTCCAGATTCATCATAGCAGGTCGACATCAATCCTGACCCATTATAGCGTGGCGAGTGACATCCATCTAGACCGTCATAGCATGTCAGCATCAAGCTTGAATCACCATATATGACAACATCAGTTCAAATTCGTCTTTACGTGTTGGCTTCAATCATGTCCCGTCAGACAGGAATGTTTATTTATTCAAGCAACATTTATTTCAAGTAAACACCGGTAGTTCTCAAAAATGAAAGTCTGAACAAGGAGAATGACATAACACGTATAATAAATGAAATGTACATTTTATTTTCTTGTTTACAATGTACGCCCGCTTATCCCTTTTTAAACTTTGCTACTGTTTGCACATTCAGCAAAAGAAGCAAAGTTTGGGCATTCAGCAATCGAAATTAATAAGTAATGACGGTTGTCCAGGGCGTTCTTCTGCATACAATAAACTTAATGCCATATTTTAATTATACTTCCTTCATTGTGCCTCTTTTAGTTTGCGAGCTTTGTCTAACTTGAGTACATTTTACATAAGAAAAAAAATGGACACATACCAACAAAAAACTTAAAGCATTGTTTTGACATTTTGATTTCTTTTTGTTAAAATAAGCCTTTCGCATGTGCACGATTATATGTGACCAATACTCGTTTAGGGAAATGGTAGTAGTTCACGATAGGAATTCTTACATTAATTAACTAACGGATTCTTAATGTAATTATCACTTCTTCTCAGCACTGGCATCAAGGGAGGATAATACACTTATAGTGTGTTCGTATGTGAAAGGCCGAATATTGTATTTCCCTAACAGGCACGCGTTCGTGCATGAAAGAAGGCCTAAGGATGCTTTCCTAACAGGCACTACTTCGTTCAAGGAAAGCTTACGATTATGGTTCTTTAACAGGCACGCGTTCATACATGGAAGGCCAAAGGTTTTTCTTCATTAACAGGCATTTAAAACTGCATTATCTGTGAAATGTACTGAAACAGGTAGTTTCGATTAGAAAGTTGAGCTTTTCAGCTTGTTGGTCGAATTCTTATTTTCATCAAACAACCGAAATAGCTAAGTTGCGTCTCAGTTGCGAACTGGATTCACTAAAGCTGATAGCCTCACGTATCTGACAATATTGTGTTCATTGATCAGTGGATGTTCTATAACAGCTGTGAATTGTTGTAAAACTTTTGAGTTGGTTTCTATCTATATATCTGTCCGTCTGTACAGAGCTATACAGAATGATACGAAGAACCACAAATAAGTTCTACACAGAATGATGTGAAAACCCCCAAGAAGATTTATACAGAATGATATGAAAAACCACAAAAACGGTTTATACATAATTATATGCAAAACCACCAATAAGTTCTAAACAGACGGATGTGAAGAACCACCAGGAAGGTTTAAAGATAATAATGTGAAGAATCATCAAGAAGGTTTATATAGAATGATGTGAAGAATCATCAAGAAGGTTTATATAGAATGATGTGAAAAACCCCAAGAAGATTTGAACAAAATGATGTCAAGAACTAC